ATATTTCGTTCTCTTCTACAACCAACACTAGATCTCATAATTATATATTAAAATTTTTTTTAAAATAGAATTTCTATGGAGCACTCGATCCCCATAAATTTAACGTTGGGACCATATCAATCTCCGTAAAAATAAATGGAAATGTGATGTTCCACATTGGTTGGGGAGGAGAACAAACCACTGTTTATAAGGGTGTGGAAACCTTCTTCGAGCATACGCGTTTTAAAGTCTTGAGAGCAAGTCCAAAGAGGACAATATCAGCTATTGGTGGATTTGGGCCGTTACAAATGGTATCAAAGCCAGACACCGAACGATGTGCCAGCCTTTTTTGCTATTTCACATAGAGGGTAGACACGAGGCGGTGTGTTAGTAAGGACGATAGACTCCAAAAGGAGTGGATTTATAAGACGGAAACCTTCTTCACACGTTTTAAAGCCTTGAGGGGAAGCCTAAGAAAGACAATATCTGCTAGCAGTGGATCTGGGCCGTTACACGAAGACGAGAAAAGCTTCCAGTTGTGGAGTAGAGTTAGAGTTTAGGTGGGAGAGTAGGATTGCTGTTCTTCTTCATCCTTTTTCTTCACTCTTTTTACTGTTCTTCTGCTCAAGTTTGCCACTGGCCCCTCTCAAAATCTTCATTAGGCCCTCCCTCTACCTTCTTTTACATGTACAATTTTACAACTTTTTACCCTTTAAGGTAATTTTCAATCATGCTCGTGAATTTTCATTTTACAAATATAACGTTACATAACCAAATATTTGTATTTCGTCGCTATTATTTAACATTATTAACTAAATGATCAGCAGTGTGCATCTTTACAGATATGTCATCCCATATTATCTTATAATTAAATTTTAAATTTTGGTAAAAATTTAAATCTCTAATTTTTTAATCAATATTATATGCCTTAATTAATTAAATGAGACTAACTTAAGCTTTAAAATTTGAATTCTTGCTTTAGTATGGTTTTTATATTTCAAATAAAAAAAATAAATTTTTTAAAAATAATTTACTTTTGTCTTTTGGTCCATCAAGTGAATCAATGGTACGATCCTAATATCTAAAACAATGGTAGCGCAGCCCCCAACAGAGGGCCTCCCTCATTTTGTTCTTATTATTATTATTTTTTAAATATTTTTAAATATTTTAATTTAAATCATTCAATTTCACATAAAAAAAAAATTAAATTTTAATTACTAGTTAATTTTTGTATTAATTTCACACTCGCTTCTTGCCTGAATCTCCTCTCCAACGTGGAGGTTAGGTGCAGATACTGATTGTGCCGTGTTGTTCTTTGTGAGATCCCATATTGGTTGGAGAGAGAAACAAAACATTTCTTATAAAAAAAATGTGAAAACTTACTCTTAACACACGTTTTAAAATCGTGAAGCTGAATACATAACAGACAAAATAGATAATATTTATTAGCTATAAGCTTGAGTTGTTATGCTATCCTATAGAAACATTATTCTGGAGGATATTTTGGTTGGAGTCATTTTTATTCGAAATAATTTTAATAAATCACTTTAAAAAATATTATCTAAAGAATTGTTTTAACAAATCTCCTAATATATATATATATTTATTTATATTAATCTAATAAAAAAAAGATTATTTGAATAATTTATTTGCTATATTTGGCTCCATTTTTCCCCAAAATATACATATATTTTCCTCACAGTAATGGGCCTTCTTTGAGTAACGTCTGAGTTGGAAACGAAGAACCGCCCTCTCTGATTTTGCCGTCACGTATTGCCGCCGGATCTCGCCCCTAACCCTCTCTGTGTTTGTGGTGCGTCCTCTCTCAGGCCGTTCTCTATTTGAAATCTCATCAAGCTGATTATTAATGCATGCATTTTTATAATTCCAGACGTTGGTAGAATTTGGTATTCATCTCCATCTCCGATTTCGAAGATTACGAATCTGTTCTTCTTTGAAAGTTGGAAATTTTTGTTTTTCTGTTCTTTTTTTTTAATCGGTATGTTGGTGTTTAGGCATTTAGTTAGGGCTCAAATGCCCCTCTCTGTTCCCTAATGCTGCTGATTATCGTGATTAATGGAAAGTTGATTTGGGCTTCATTTAAATCTGAAATCTATCCGTCATTCACCTCGAAAAGATTCGAGATTAACCTCGAACAAGTTGGATGGAGCTTTTGCAATTTGAATTGAAGATTTTATGTTCCTAGGCTCGCGAAGTGTATTACTAACCTTAAAACTTTGTTTGATTGATGGGGAACGTTAATAGAATTGTGATCTATGTGAGTGTTTTCATGGGGAATGGGAAACGTTAATGACTTACATTACGAAAACAATTTCTATATGTTATAGACTAAATCCTTCAAAAGTAAATTGAAGAATCTTTAGTGCCATACCTTATTCAGAGTCTTCTTTCATAAGGTTATCAATTTTATATATCGTTAGTTGTTGACTCTGAATTTTCCGTTCTTTTACTATACTTCTGATGCCAGGCTATGTGGTAGGAAGTTTGCTGTGTGGAATGGAGATTTGATTTATTAGTCTAGTTTCGCAACGGGATCTTTTGTAATATCAATTTTGTAATTTGATCTTGCTCTAATCATTTCCAGATTTTGTAGGTAGTCCAAAACTTCAACTTCAGGCATGTCTGGAGAGGAGGAAGAAAATGCTGCAGAGCTTAAAATTGGGGATGGTACCGATCTTTCTATGAATCTTTGATACTCTTTTAGTATTCAATGAGATTTTATGTCTCTCAAATGTCTTTCAACGATGTGTGTTTCATTCGTATATTTGAAATTTTGAATCTGATGTGCAATTCATGTATTTAATCTTTAAATTTGCTTCAAAACTGAGAAGCTTAATTTATTACGTTGTTCCCCATGCCTTATTATACGTTTCCTTCACATTCTTTGAACCTTCTAATAGCCAATGTGATTTTTTTTTTTTTTTTTTTTTTTTTTTTTTTTTACAGTGCGTATGGCTTGGACTGAATATGTGGATTGAATGTAAACACACTGATTAATCCTGAAAGTAGTTTCATGGGTAGAATAGCATTGTAAAGAAATTGCTTTTGTTTTTTTGGTAAGAAACAGAGCGTTCATTGAGCAAAATAAAGTAATGTACGAGCACTTGCAAAGAAAAAAGGGCCTTCAAAAGGAGTCATCAATTATAAGCAAAGAAATCACGAGCTCTTATATGGTTCTAAGGTTTCTGAAATTTTAGATGAAGATATGTGATCTATGCAAAATCACATAAACATAACTATTATAAGCTTTTCCATGACAATGCAAGGTGCTTTAGACTAGCCAAATCTTTTTGGTTTTTATGGATAAGTAACCATTCGGAATTTAAGCTCTTGCGATCGAAATTGTTTTAGGGAGTACTCTTAAGCTTTTTCATTCCCTTGCATTTATTTCGCTCTTTGTTATAAGGTACATAAAAGGAAAAATATAGAATGTGATAATTTTCATCTACTTCTGTTGGTTGCCTGCAGAGTTCTTAAAAGCCAAGTGTTTAATGAATTGTGAAGTTTCTTTGATCCTTGAACACAAGTATGAGCAGCTTCAACAAATGTCTGAGGATCCAACCAATCAAGTTTCTCAGTGAGTTTATGTTTATTCTCTATTGTTTCATAAGTTAATTTAGAGTTTCTCTTCCTTGCTGGAATAGCTGAAATATATAGCTAAATTATGATATTCATTCTAACTTTCCACACAATACGAGGGATTTTTAATTCTGGTCTTCTTCTGCAGAGTGTTTGAAAAGTCTCTGCAATATGTGAAACGGTTCAGCCGCTATAAGAACCCCGATGCTGTTAGACAAGTCCGAGAGTATCCTTTAAACTGTACATGTTAATATCTTACATTTTGTGGGATGGTGGGACGGATGGGTAGTGCATATCCACGATATGCTATAACTTACCCCATTTTGAACTAGGACTTTACAACTGCAATTCTCTTGCTAGACCAAGAACTCTCTGGTTAGCTGTTATTTAGGAAATAGTGAATAAATTAGCTAAAGTTCATTATATCTCAGCAGCTATACTATATTATAGGTTTCCTAGGTATCCATCTGAAATGATCCACTACTTTGATATTTCATTCATGACTTTTATCACGTAAGTTACAAACGAAAGTTTGGGTTCATCATTTAAAATCGCATCGAAGAGGTTAAATCTTAACTACTACCATATAGAATTCTAAGCAGGTATCAGTTGGCTGAGTTTGAGGTATGTGTACTGACTCACATGGTTTAATCAACTTGCTGATTATTATTCTATGGGAAGGTTTATCTCATCGCTCTTGAAATTTGCAGCTCTGTGTTCTTGGCAACCTTTGCCCTGAAACTGTGGAGGAAGCTATTTCCATGGTTCCATCATTGAAGGTACCTTTTGCCACCCTTTTTAGGCCCTCATTAAATGGTTGTTTATTTTTTGGTATTTTGCCAATCTCAAATAGGTACCAACTTTTAGAAAGTTTACTGTTGGGTTTATCTTTCAACAACGAACATGCATCGACTTTTAAATGATCTCTAAAAAGTTTTAAAACTGAAGATGTAATTTTTTTAAATTTGTGAAAGATTTCATAGGCATTTCCAAAAAGTGAAAAAAAATTGTTTATAGATGGATCAGAGTCGCTTATAAATGCTTTTGTTGCAGACTAAAGGAAGGGCACATGACGATGAAGCAATCGAGAAGATGTTGAACGATCTTTCATTAATCAAAAAGTTCGAGTAGTTAGCTCTCTAAATCTGGGTTCAATGTGTTAATCCATTCCTTGGCATTTCTCACCTAAAACAATAGAGAATTGTACCCTTCTAATCAGAGTCTAATAACAAGTTTTTAGGCATTTACCTAAACGTTCAATTTTATTGCTTATAGATTGCTAATACTCTGTTCGATGACTATGCTATTAGACATTTTTTGAAGTTAAGAGACCCGATACCTGATAACCATATAACCAAAACTACATGGATTGAACTTATTTCCATCTCTCATCTCAAAAATAAGTTAAATAAAGTGGTATGGACATCAGAAAGTATCAAGATTTCCTATCAAACCCTCAGTTGTTCATAATTAAGTTGGTTTTTTAGTACATGGATTTGATGTATGGAAGCTTACTACACAGACTGGATAGAACAACGCACTCGACAAAAACCAGAACTAGTGGATGTCGTCTTGTCTCATAATTATTTAGGAAAGAAGATGATCATCTTAAGAATCTAACAACAGTTAATTATTTTGCTTAATCGTCAGGTTTCCATTGTACCAGAGCTAATGTATGGCGGCCGCCGCAGGCAACAAGTTTGGCTGTCCAACGACCATTCTCAGCCCCACGAGGAGGGGGAATGTCAATGGGAACTTCCTCTGGTTGCCCAGTTGTTACCTTCCTTCCATACCCAAGCCGCCCATGGTCACCTCGCCCGAACTGCCATACACATAAACAAGAATTTTGAATGAAAGTTACGACCTCTAACGGGTGTGGCAATGATCTAGAATAGTGTGATGGTATGCGAGTTCCAATTTTCGTTCTAGATCATCACCACACCATAGAATAAGCTGAAAGTTGATGAATCAAGAAAACGTCCAAACTTAAATAATAAGACAGTAATATAATGATTCTTCATGAAACACATTAGAAAAACAAAAATCCACAGCCTGTTTCATCCTACGATGATGTCTCAAACAAGGTTGTTGATTAAGACTAACCGAAAACATGCGGCCGTCACTTGTTACTGCAACTGAGTGTGTGCCTCCACATGATACCTGTGCCAACGAATGAGATAGTGGCATATTCAAAAGATTTCTTCTTCTGTGAAATAAAAACTGCAGCTCAAACTCTTATTCCTAATTCTCAGCATGGTCCTGAGATTAAATTCCAAAATAGAAACATAGCATTCAACTACTATATCTAAAATACTCCCTTTTAATTAATAAGAAACTATTTGTTCGATAGGTTTTTCGAAGATACCATTATCCGTTTCAAACTAGAACTATATCAGCTTACCAATGAAGGATTACCTTATAGATGGTCGAAGACTCGAATGTATGAAATCAAACGGAAATGTTTGTTTCCCCATTCATGCATCAAACTAAATATCCTGTCATTACAACATTATACCCATACTTCCACTACAGCTGTTGTAACAGCCCAAGCCAACCGCTAGTAGATACTGTTATCTTTGGATTTTTCCTTTCGGGCTTCCCCTTAAGGTTTGAAAACGCATATGCTAGGGAGAGGTTTCCACACCCTTATAAGGAATGTTTCGTTTCCCTCTCCAACCAATGTGGGGATCTCACAATGCACCCCCTAAGGGCCTAGCGTCCTTGCTGACACACCTGCCCGTCGTAATAGCCCAAACCCACCGCTAGCAAATATTGTTCTTTTTAGGCTTTTCCTTTCGGGCTTCCTCTCAAAATTTTAAAACGCGTCTACTCGAGAGAAGTTTCTACACCCTTGTAAGGAATGTCACATTTGCCTTCTAAAATCTGAATCCATCCGGCCTTTTAAGACACTTCTCAGCTTTAGGCAGAAAAAGGTGGGGCACAAGTATAAAAGTGGCAAGATTCATACCTGTACAATGTTCTCTCCAGACAGAAGTTGAACCTTCTGTGGAACCATTTTGCTGCTCTTGTCATTATCTCCAAACCCAAGTCTCCCATGTTCTCCTCGTCCCCATCCATAAACCTGCAACAGCAGTAAGCTTACTACTCATACATAGACAATGGAGGACGCGTCATTCAATCTTAGACCGACTCCATAATTCATAAGTGAACTTGATCAGAAGCTTGTAAACCATGCTTATTGAAGACATAAGCACTGCTACTTTAACTATGAACTAAAACTTCTGCGTCTTCTCAAATCTCAAGAAAAAAACACAACCAAGACAAGGACACATTATGTCATGTTTGTAGTTTGTACTAGAATCAATGACAAGCCAAAAATGAATAAAGTTTCATTGCTTTATTAATGGAGAGAGAGAGAGAGAGAGAGAGAGAGAGAGAACCGACCTCTCCGCTATCTGTCAAAGCAGTTGAATGCCATCCTCCAGCTGCAATGTCAACCTTTGGATTAAGATGTGGTAAAATAATTAGCAAGGGAGCCATATCAGCTGCTATCATTTTCATGGCTAACCATAGAAAATATGTTTTTTGAGACGACAAAAAAAAAAAGGAACATAGAACACAAACCAAAGTAAGACCAGAAAGGCCTTGGACAGGAATTGGCTGTGATCTTGGTTGTGTATCACCAGTTCCAAGCTGTCCATATTCATTATTACCCCATGCCCATAAAGTCCCATCTTCTTGGAGAGCTAAATTATGAAATGCCCCGACTGCAATAAGCCTCACCATATCGAGACCTTGAACTCGTACAGGAACAGAAATTTGCTTTCTGCAAACAACACTCTCAATATATTACCATCACTGCATACAATGAAAAGAGACCAAAGTAATAGAAAATGGAAGTGTTCAGTGAAATCAAAATTAGAAATTATGAGACCGTACATATCTCCAGGTGGCCATGGTTGGCCCCATGTCCATAGATGTCCTTCACGTGTAAGTACCACAGAGTGTGTACCTCCTGCAGCAACCTATGACAAACAAAAAAGATTATGTTTCTCAACCAACTTGAGACAAGCATGAAACAATCTTCCATCAGAGCCCTAGGAGATTAAAATGGGTCATGCCAGAATCAAACCAAATCTTTAAGTGACGTTGTAACAACCTAAGCCCACCGCTAGTAGATATTGTTCTCTTTAGGCATTCCTTTCCGGGCTTCCCCTCAAAGTTTTTAAAATGCATCTGTTAGGGAGAAGTTCCCATACCCTTATAAGGAATGCTTTCGTTCCCCTCTCCAACCGACGTGGGATCTCACAGACATTTGGTTAGAATGTTCATACAAGATAAGACTAAAGATAACGTTGCAAATAGCTATAACTCTTAAGAATTATTTCATCTGATAAATTATCGAACATGGGAAAAAATGTTTTCTTGATTATGGACCAAAAGGTTCATTTATTCAAGTAGACATGCTTAGTTGAAAGGGCTACAATAGCATAGTATGTGATATGTGTTACACGGTAAGAACGAACTGTATTGTGCATAACATCTATACGTAGCTGGGTAAAGTGTGGGGTATAAATCATTAGGTAGCCAGTCTTCACTTAACTCGGACCAAACAATGCCCACATAATCCAAAATAAACGCTTACAAATATATTACCTGACGAACTATTAGCTTCGGAGCACATCGTTGAGGAATTGCTATATCTCTTCTCGGACGTCTACCCGTGTCATCCTTCTTCTCAGGCTCTTCGCCACATTGACCATATTCATTGCCACCTGCACCATACAAACTTTACATGCTTACTTGCCTAACTTGATCAAATATGAGGCGCCGGGAAAACTTTCCCCAAACAAGTTCCTCAACGGCTGCAAATAACCATCCTCTCAGTTGTTACTCATATTGTCATGCACAAATGAAGATAGTACAGAGTTCAGGCAATGTTAAAACCCAATACAAAGGCCTAATATTTGTTCTCTCTCCCAATTGAGGCTTAAATCCTGCCTCCTCAAGATAAAAAAAAGCTTTGATGCCTCTTTGACGTTCTTAAGACATTGATAACTAGCACTGTAAAGGAAGTTAAGTACCCCAGGCATAAGCTCGGCCTTGATCATCCACAGCCAGACAGTGCCATCCACCAATAGCCGCCTAAAATCAGGACCCATCATCAGAAACCTTCTCTAGAACGCTAATCAAGTAGTACACAGAAGCTTTCAGCACGAAAATTAAGAACAACATGTAGAACACCACACTTAGATTGGTTACCTGTACAATCTTAACATTAGCAAGAGCTTTCACCTGGCTCGGAACGTTCTCAGCTTTGGTTTCTGCTGGGTGCCCTAGGGTTCCTCTCTGATTCCAACCCCATGTAAACAGCTACAAATCCCCCACAAATTTAAACCAAAAGTATGAAATACGAGAAGCGAACTAGACCAGAAGCTTAAACAGAGCGATTCGAATCAATTGTAACTGACCTTGCCGTCTTCGCAGATGGCGAGCGAATTTCGGCTACCAGCAACAACGGAACAGACATTCTGAGACTCGAGAGCTTTAATAGCGCAAACCCATTCCCGTTCTTCGTTGTTCCCCAATCCCAATTGCCCATCTTCTCCCGAACCCCTGCCAATTCGTTTACAATTTGATCAAACGATTCAGTTGCTATCAATCGTTGACAGCTAAACCACAAAATTAGAAACAACCATGATTACTGACCAAGCAACAATGGCAGTGTTGGCAGCCATTGAAAAGCAAGGTACAAAGCTCGAGTAATGGCGTCCCAAATTAGCAATTTCAGCTAATTACTATAAACAAATCCGAGCATAACAGTGCTTCACCTAATAAAGAAATGCAAATAAAATAAAGAAAACTTTTGCGAAAAAAAAAAAAAAAAGACAAGTATGAAATGGAAAAGCTAAATAAACTTCGTATTTATCCAAAATAATACTAATACTAATAATAATAAATATCTTAAATTTTAATTTTTTTGATAAAATTCTAGACTCTCGATAAAGTCTAAGAAATATTTTTTTTAATTTAAAAAATAACTTTTTGGATGAAACTTTTTAAAAAATATTCGTTTTTAACTTTTAAAAATATTAAAAAAAAATTTAAAGATGATTAATACTCTTAAATTTGTGTCACGTTATTATAAATTCATATTTATATGAAATTATGAAATTATAAACTTTAATTTTCATGAGTGAGTATTATGTGTATTTAAATAAATTAAAATATGGAGTACTTTTAGTTTAGCTGAATTATTAAAAGCCAATTCAAGTAATTTCAACAAAAATGGAATGTGAATAAAAAATTTAAGATTTAGGGTTTGGATTAAATGGAAAAAAGATGTTAAAATTGGGGAGTGGAATTGATACCGCCGGAGTTGGCTTCGAAGTTCGAACGTCCTGCTTTCGACGAAACTGAAGGCATTTTGACGGCTACTTCCTGTTCTCCTACTGCTCTCTGAAATGGGTTACATTCAGGAAGCTCGAGAGAATCATGTGAAGAAGAAAGTAGAGGAAGGTATTATCAAATGCTCTTATCGTCCTCTTCATCCTTAATCTGCTTTTGATTGTTGACGAAAATGATGGGTCAATTTAATTTTTGAGTCTAGAGAACTTATCGAAATCTGGTGTTGGTTATTTCTCCATTTCCAGCTTTGCGCAGCAAAATGAAGCAGAAGGCGATGAAGGAATGCGATCATTACGCTTCGAAATATGCTGAATGCGCCTATGGCAGAACGTTATCCGTCGTTTTCAAGTGTCGCAATCAAGCTAAAGAATTGAACAATTGCCTTCACCAATAGTGAGTCTCTGATTGTTTTGTTTGGTTTCTCTTCTGTAGATCATAATGTGCTTTATCGTTGTTCCTCGTGCATCAATCATCATATTTAGTTGAATTGATAAGATACATCGTTGTCCTTTTAATTGAGGGTTTCAGTGATAGTAGCTTTAGATGCTGGGTTTGATTTGTGGAAAATCAAGCATGGATCGAGTTTGATTTTAGGGACATGTTAGTGACACATGAAAGTAAGTCAAGAGCTGGAGTCATATGGCCAAACATGTGACTTGACTTCTATGGGGATGAATAACTACATAGTGCTTATGTAACTCCACCGCCATTAGATATTGTCCTCGGCGGGCTTTTCTTTTTAGGCTTACCCTCAAGGTTTTTAAAACGTGTCTGCTAGGGAGAAGTTTCCACACTCTTATAAAGAATGATTCGTTCCCCCTCTCCAACCAACATGGGATCTCACAAGTTACCACTTACCACTTTTCATGTTTATAGATGTGATTAAGGATTTGCCCTAGAATGCATTCTCAGTGGGGACGGGCATATTCATCATCTACATGCCTTGAGTCACCTATGGAGCGTATTATGGCACAGGAGTCACCATTAAGTGACGTTTAACACAAAAACATTAAAACAAATCTTAGCCTACCAGAGAAACAAGATTCATCTTGGGTGTTAAGACTTATAGAGTGAGCCACGCTATGGTGCAATGCAATGGCCTTTTCCTTGTTCAGGTTGTTAGTCATCTCTGCCGTATCGTTGTTGAACTATATGTAGTTTTGTTGCTAGAAGGTTAGTTGGCCTGTTATTTCTCTCGGACTTCTATTTAATGAACCCTGTAATGCCTTTGTAAACACTCAATATTGTCGATTCTGATCAAGAATCGTGTTAGTTCTTGAGTAGGGCAAGATGAAAACCCTAAGCCCAAGCCGGGTATCGGTGCATAGAGTAAAAAAGAGTGCATGAACATACAACGTGCATGATCAAGAGTTTGTTGGGAGAATGAGCTTTTAGGCTAAGCCACCTATGGGCAAAGAAGATGCTTATTGAGTAGCTTGAGTGAATGCAACCAAGCGGACTCGGCATCAAAAGGAAGAACCCAGCATTGACTTTAATGTGAGAGGATCTTGAATAGAGTATTGAGGCAGGTGTGACGGCAGGTAATGAGTCAGAGTAGTATCTAGGACTACACGATTTAAGGTGGTCTGATCAATATTGGCGATTTGATTAGAGGATTCATACCCTATTATAAAAAATGCTGATCGTTAGTGAGAAGAAAGAGGAGAGCCTCTGCTCTCTCCACAGTATTCTCTCCACGGTATTCTTAAGGACCTCTCTCGTCAGGTGGCTATCGGCCCTATTTATCAATAAATGATATAGGATTGGAATAAATAAACTCTCTCTGGAAGAAGATTTTAATAAGATTCAAATAGGAAGAGAGGGAGAAGGCTAAGTAAGCTACGCCCCCTTAACTCTCTATCTATAGAAAAAAAGTCCGCAAGCGAGGGAGAAAGGAATGTTGCTCACTCCAGAAATACGAGTGTCTGCGAACGATACCATTCTTCTAGGCAAAGCCTCCTTCAATAAAAATAAAAATTGTCAGATGTTAAAAGGTAATCCTTGATCATTTTAGCTGCAAGAGAAGCTAATATGAACGGAAGAAAAAATTTTCATTTTGAAACTCGTCTTGCCATGGAGATTAACGGGTGAGGGGGTGAATGTATATATAAACAGGTTTTGACAAAATCAACATCATTGATTTTCTTAGAACTATTTGCCGTTTTATATAGGAGCTTCATTCTCTTGTAAATTCTCTTCGTTCCTTCCTAATGGCAAATATTATTAGCCAAAACGGTAGTAAATTTAAAGAACGATGCATAGTTTGTCTAAGAATAATTAAATACATCTATTCTCGTTTTGTTTTCCAGCACCAACGACACCGTGTTGGAAGAGATGAAGCGGGAATATGCACATCAACACGATGGGAAGCCGTGAGGAAAAGCATAACATCATTCAATGAGAAAACTGAAGAGTGCTGTTATGGGTCAATCTCAGGTGAACTTTCAGACGATACTATGTTGAATTTGTCACTAGAAGCATTGATATATTAGTAAGAACTTAACGAAAGTTGAGGCTTTATGGATTTTGTAATCTGGATAAGCAAAGGAATTCTATTTTATTTGGATAAGAATGATCTTTCATCTCTAATCATAGTGTAAATTTCGAAGCTACTCTTCTTTGTCAAAAACCTTTACCAGGAATGAGTTCCATCTGCCATTAAGGCTCCTCGTTCATAGATTTTAGGGAGCCATTATCTGATTTATGGATTCCATCCTTCTTGCCTTGCTTGGAGTGTAAAACGAGATGAGCAATAAATCATGAAGTTCAAGATTTTATTATTGTTTTAATCTCCAAATTTTTTATTATTTGACCTTATGTTTAACATATGTCATGAAACATGTTCTCTATTGTGAATTAAAAAGTTTAAGAGAGAATTCTCTGATTGAATATGTAACACAAAGATGGGGTTCCAACCTCAGGTAAATTGTAGAAAAGAATATATCTGGAGAGACATGAGGGAAAAGCTGTGAACTCAACAATAATAAGCATAATTCGAAGATATTGCATAAAACTCCCTTGTACTTGAATCAAACCATCAATTGAACCGAATCTGTTGCCTAATTTAATAAACACCTCCAAAAAAAAATATAGGGAAGGGGTTTCTCTACTTTTTTTTTTTTTGTATTTTTCATTCTTGAGAAAAAAGGATAAAGAAAGTTCTACAGTGATGGGAGCAAATGCTTCCCAACAGATCAAAACAGTAGGAACTTGTACAAGAAAGTAGCACAAAACTCACTCTAGCAGATCATCAAAACCGGCTAAAAATTACATGTTAACGCTTCCTAAGTAGGTTTCCGCATATTGCGGCCAGCACGAATTACCTCGTCCACCAATAGCAACTGTGATGCAATTACAGGCCTGCAAAAAGTTATGAGTAACCAAATCAGTACCCCAACTTTATGATGATTTAATATCGAAGACTAGAAAGTTATAAATTTGACTACTTCTATAAGACATTTGTTAAAGATCAAGAGCATGACAAGAACTTCGGCAAAGAAAGGCTATATGAGGATGTAAAATGGGGCGACAATCGAGCCATGTACCCAGAATTGATAATTTGGCGTTTCACTGAGTAGTTGTCAAAGATACCCTCCATTTGGGGGTCAATCGGTTCTCCTGTATGCTGGTTTAGCCCTACAATAGTGCCCCGGTCATGTGCCCCCTGATTTCAAATGGGAAGAACGAGTTCAGCATACTTATAACTGCCTCTCATAAAGGAGGGAAACGTTGGAATTATATGACAAAGCACAGTAGGAGTTTAAAGGACTATACCTTAAGAGCAATGAGCACATCCTGTGTGTCGAGCCCAGAGTTTTCAGCAAGTGTCTTGGGAACCACAAGAAGGGCATCAGCAAAAGCTTCAACGCCAAGTTGAGCACGCTGTAATAAAGGTTGAGAAGGTCAAAATAAGATTGGGTACATGAAAAGTATGCAAAAGGATACTGAAGAATACTTCTAAGGAGACTTACTCCTTGAACTGTTTTCTTCACTTCATTTATCAGATATTGTCTTGCAGCAACTTCAAAGGATCCGGCACCCTGAAAATTCCACCAGTCATTTCTTAAGACCAAGAAAATCTCGAGTAATAAGGATGGTCTAACGAGACGCTATTTCCTGGCTATAAGCATCCAAACTTGTCTCCTCTCTTTCATTCATAGGGTCAAGAAGCAAAACAAATTGCAATGCAATATATCGTAATTGAAGCTGCAAGACTATAACTGCTGATAACCTAATAACAAATAGGGAGGAAGAGAAGAAAATAAAATTTTAATATTTTTTTACTTTGTTTAAGAAATAATGTGAATATCCGAATGTAGGAACTAGAATGCCAAATGCTCAATATTAGTTCTTCCATCCAGACGCGAAGTTACAGAGAGCAATAGACCAATCGTACACTGTAGATATAATTTATTTGCTCCCTTAACTTGCATTCAGGATGCTTGCTG